AGGCTTCCTGACCCATAAAACCAGTGGAGCTGAGTGTCTTTGTGCAGAAGCCTGGGTTGCAGAGTTTGTTTTTGTTTTTTGTTTAGAATTTATATTTTGTTTGTTTCAAATAGAAAAGGCTAATTCAGTCTCTAGCCTAGCTTATGCCTACAGAAATTTATTGTAGTATCAACTTAGCATTAAGGGAATCTATTAAGGCATTAAGGGATCTATTAATCCTCGAGGATCTTTATAAGCTTGCCCGAGGAGGGAAGAGGCCAAAGAACTGTGAATCGGAGAGCTTGAGCTAAGAAAAGGTGCTGTAGACGAAAGGATTGTGTCTTTCATGTTTTCTGATCCTGACTTGTGGCAACTTGTTAACTTCCCTAATAAGCCCAGGATTAAGAGTGTTATCTAGGAGCTCTCTGTGGCCATTGCAACAGATTTTCGAAGCCAGTGGAGAAGTAAAGTGCCATGAGAGGGCAGGTTTGGGTCAGAATGTGGTTAATGAAGTTGGAGGCTGGAGGAATGGCTGATTTCTGCCTCATAGAGCTCATCCTTGGGCAGTTGTGGGGTGAGATTCTCCTTCTCTGTGTAGCGGAAGGAAGCCAGAAAAGGATTCCACACCATTTCCTCGGGAAAGGTTTCCAAGATTGTAAATAGTTAAGGAAGCCAACAGCCTCATCTCTCTCCCACAGAACCGTTATCAGCCCAACATATGACCCACAACACTTACTCTTTGTGGAGTGAGTAAAATATATCTATACTGCAAGTCTGGCAAGCTTGTAACTGTCTGAATACCTTCTCTGGCTACAGCATTTGATCTCTCCACCAAGATTTTCCTATGGTCAAACTTCCTGGTACATTTTTAGCCAGCTTTTGTAGAATTTGGGAGAAACATGAGACTTTCTTCTCCCGTAAGGAATCCCAGGGGCTCGGAAACCCACAAGGGAAATTCTTCCCTGTCCTACAGGGTTGCTAGGAGTCGCCAATGACTTGATGGCAGTGAGTTTGTTTTTGTTTAGAATTGATATTTTGTTTGTTTCAAAGAGAAAAGGCTAATTCAGTCTCTAGCCTAGCTCATGCCTATAGAAATTTATTGTAGTATCAACTTAGCATTAAGGGAAAATTGTTTGATACATATAAGTCATGTCTCCAAGAATGCATACCACCCATGAGAAGGCTATAAAATATTTTTTATCTTGTCAACAATATTGAACAGTGGAAGAGTGGGTGGTGGGGAGTCTTAGACAATACTGAGTAGTAGTGTGTCCTGGCAAGTTTACCTATGAGAAGAAATGACAGTTTATGGTTGATCAGATCTGTATTCATCAAATGTTTTAATGTGTCTTTCTAGAGAAGTTTTCAAAAGGAAAGCTTTGAAGGCCTATAAGATAACTTCAGGGATTTATGAGTTGGTGACAGAAAAATATGATTACCAGTGACAGCTTCCGGTGGCTTCTATGTGCCTTTGTCTGTGAGTTATATAGAGATTTATATGCTAATTACCTAATTGATAGTATGATGTATGATGGCAACTTGACTCTTCCAGGGACCCTGCAATCGAAGGCCCAAATCTATCAGCTCACATGTATCATGCCCTGCCCTTTTGAACCTGGGAACGCTAGCAAACTTGCATTCATGACATATGTGGGGCAAAGTCCTTTGCTTCCCTCCCAATATGAATGTGGTAGACCATTCCACATAATTAGGGCCCCTCAAGTTCAAGAACTTAGGCAGCCCCTGCTGTCTTCCTGCACTGATGGCCACATGCAGTATTTCCTTGAAAAAGAAGGTTGACATTCAGTAAAAGAGGGGATTTCTGAGGACCAGAACTTAAAGGACTCTGAATTTTTAATGCTTTTAGTTCACTAAGAATTTAAATATAATATATATGTATATATATATTGGCCTTGGAAAACTTGGTATTGAAAAATACTCTATAACACTACCCAAAACTCTCTTCTCTATTTTTGGAGAATTAGAGTCTATAAGAGATCTTCAAACAATTTTCTTGATTTCTCCATCATTTATTTTCTAAAATTGGAAGCTTTCTTCCTTTTTTCTTTTTAAGCTCTGGGAAACTTAATCTTAGGCCACACATGCTAACATTCAGCTGGAATGGGTGTTTTACCCTTCCTAGTTCTGTGTCTGCCTGTAAAACATCGCTCTAATAGCTGCATCCTGTGATACAATGAATTGTCTCTGCTCTTCTTATGCCTCCAAAGGAAATACATCTTGACTATGTCAACAGAATTTTGGGTGTGCCCTGAGTCTTCTCTCCAGCTAGCTACTTCACTTCCTGAGAGATCAGTCACTCGTGAATCAGAGCATCTTCAAGTGAGTGACCAGAATCAGGACAAGATTTTATTCATACAAATGAAGAGCAAATAAAATATCAAAAAAGTTAAATTTGGCAGTAATCTAGCAGAAAGTTCAACACAGGATCCCTACTGGCTCTGCAAGTTAAGTATCAAGCTGCTAATTACAAAGGTGCGTGGTTCAAACTCACCAGCTGCTTTGTGGGAAAAAGGTGAGGTTGCCTGCACTCCTAACGATTTAGTCTTGAAACCCAAAGGAGCAGTTCTACTCTGTTCTTAGGGTTAAGGTGACTGAGAGTCAACTAGTTGAGAAGGGGCTTGGTTTAAAGGCCAAATCAGGTCAAGGTCATGATAGCTGTCATACAACATATGGATAACTGACCAGGGTAAGAGGATTAAAAAGTATGGAACTGAAGCCAAAGGGTAGATAGACAGTGAAATGAAGGTGCTTTCTAATAGACCAAATTTTCCCAAGATAGAATGGGCACCCTTGAGCTTGAATATGATTCAATATAATCTGCAAGATCACCTGGAGAAAGTGTTTTAAACCAAAACCAAACTCACTGCCCGCCCAAAAGGCAATACTGACTCAGTGACATATACGGTGGGGTAGCATTGTCCCTGTGAGTTTCTGAGACAGTAACTGAGATGGTAACTCTTTTTCATTTTTAAATAATTTTATTGGGGCCTTATATAAGGGATCAGAAAGCCCTGTCTTTCTTCTGAGGAGTGCCTAGTGTTTTGAACCACTGGCTTTGCAGATCACAGTTGAATTCATAACCACTATGCCACCAGGGTAATTCAGTTTCCCAAGACTTGAATTGTTATCCTTGTGACACTATGGATTACAATTTGGGCTGCTAACTGCAAGGTCAGGCAGGAGTTCTTATCCTCAGCCCCTCTGTGGGAGACTGAATAGGCGTTTTGCTCCTGTAAAGAGTAAGAGTCATGGAAACTCACAAGAATTCTGCTCTGTCACGTTAAGGGTTCCTATAAGTTAGAATGAACTCTATGGTAGGGACTTTGGGTTTAAGTTTTTGAATTGCTGAAACCTTTGAGAAGTTATTTATCTCTGTCTCTGTCTCTGTCTCTCTCTCTCTCTCTATATATATATATACACACACACACACACAATATTTTTACACTAAATCCTTTCATTGACTGAATATTAAGCTCTAGAAACAAACTAATCATATTTTTGTTGCTGTTATACTACTTATACTTTCACCTAAATAGACTGTTCTAAAATTATCTGAAGGATCCTAGGATGTGGAATAGGCTAAACATTGGTCTGCTAACCATAAAGTTTGAGGTTCAAACCCACCCACTGTTCCAAGGAAGAAAGATGATTCTGCTCCTGTAATGATTTCCCATCTTGGGAGCCCTGGGGGGCAGTTCTGGACGCAACTGGATGGCAGTGAGTATTAGTATTGTTAGTATAATACCGTAGTTACCTTGACAACAAGATAGCTGCTTTAATAACCTTTAGTAACACGTTTCAAAGGGAGTTTTTTGCCCAATAAAGTGAGAGCCACAATCTTCAACCTTCTCTTTCCCAAACTCAAAGAATGTAGGATTAAACATGTGCTTTGAAATGAAAATCAATGTAAACTTGCTGAGTAAGGGAATATTGAGCCTACTTGTTTGGAAAAGCAGAGAATTTTCACTTAGCATAAGGTAGAAAAATAATTGTTCTCTCCCAAATGAAAACTTTTACTAACTACACATCACAGCTCAAATTTTACAGTCATTTCTAATTTCAAACAATTCCCGTATTAACACTTTAACACAGTACACATATGCCTACCTTTCTGCTTTCCTGCTGTCACCTTTCAAAAATAGCATGCCTAGGGCATCAGGGTTGTTAGGGTAGCAGACATTTCACTCAACCACAACTTATCTTACTTATTTATAAATTATTATTAATGATGGGAGGATCTTACACAGATAAAAGTGACCCAAAGTACAAAACCTATCAAGAAAGATTGCAGTGGGGAATCCATTAGGCATAGTTTTGACACTAATGGAAAAACTAACCTTTAAATTCAACCCATTTATTTTAAATGGGCTTCGTTCTTGTGTCCAATCCCTACCCGGCCCACTGCCCTCAAGTCAATTTTGACATACGGTGACTGAGGCTGTAAATCGTTTGGGGAGCAGAGCTCCTTACCTTCTTCTCTCAAAGTGGCTAGTGTTTTGACCTTGCCCTGAATAGTCCAACGCCAACATCACTGCCAGGGTTTCTTAATAAGAATAAATAGCATTTAACTAATACTTGACATGTACAGGCTCTGTACTCTTCATATTTATTGTTCCCTTTCATCTTTTCAAGACATTTAAGAGTAAGTAGTAGTATTTTTTCATCTATCTATATCTATCTATCTATCTATCTATCTATCTATCTATCTATCTATCTATCTATCTATCTAATCTATTGAAAATTGAAGCTTAAGGGTCAGAAACTTGCCAAAAGTAAAATGGTTGTGAATCATTGTGATTCTGGAGGCTGAGCTAAGTTGGTATCAACTATGCAGTCTGCCCTGATGGCTCTTATGCTACTATGAATATTTTATTTAGGAAACCTTTCTGTAGAAAAACAGGCTTGTTTTTTTTTTATGGGGCGGGGGGGGGGGGATTCCTAATGATTTCCTTTTCATTGTCTATTCAGTCAACCACTCCAGCTTAGAAGGTTACACTCACCTCGTTTATGAAGGAGAACGCTGGCATGTCGACGTCCGTTTCCATTTTCAACATAGCAGGAGTAATTTCCCAAGTCACCTTCTTCCACTGAGTCCACAATTAGGGAGATGGACACTTCTTGTTCCCCAAGATGCTCTTTAAGAATTCTAAAATATAAAGCAAAACAAAACAAATACACACAAACATACCATACATGAAAATTAAAAAAAAATGTGGATTAGTTTGATATAGAAATACCTAGAGCAAATTGGGCTATGAATTGATGCTATCTTAATTAAATTATATGATGCCCTTTTCTTCTTCACTTCTAATGAGGAAGCCTGTCTTTGTAGATGCTAATGAAGTTTAAGTTAATTATCTCTCTTAGCAGGACAATCACACTGTCATAACAAAGACATGAGAGAGACCTTGAAGAAAAGTTTACAAATTGCTTTCTCTTTAAGAAGAAATATAATAAAAAGGTGAGATGACGTTCTAATGCCTTAGACTGTAGGCCTAATAATATATAAGGTTAACTTTAAAAGAGAAAGAAAAGAACCTTTCTGAGCTATTTTCACATGTGTTGTAACTTGTCACCTTGACTTTTTTTGAATGATAAAATCCAACGGCTTTAAAAAGAGAAAATAATAATAATAATAATCCTATAGATGAAATGTTTTGATAAACTGCTTAATTCCAACATTTAACATTAACGGTGAAAATTAACTTTCCCCAGTCTCAAAAGTGTTATTAATCTCAGAGCAAATGGAAAAGTTTTCAAACAGGGCTCCGTTTTTCCGTGCTCTGAACAGCGCCACCTCTACCCTCCCACTGTTTAGCAATGCAGCTCTGTTTAACAATTCCCAATAGTGAATGAAAGAAAAATATCTTTCTAGAAACTTCCTTCAGAACAGAGAAAACCAGAGGGAGGAAAAGTAAGGAGGCTTATGGCTCCTTTTTAACTTTAAAATGTGAAAGTATATGGGTAATAAATAAAGCTGGATAATAGTCACGTTCTAAATATGAACAATGTCAAAAGAACATTATCTGATATACTAGAACATTGTCCATCTGGGCCTTCAAGAATGCAACTGGAGTACTCTGTGATGTAAAATTCCTTGACATTTGTTTCCAGGAAAAGGACCACAATTACAATAATCTTAGATGAGAGCTTTATACACTTTGATTGTCTACGGAACCACATTTTCTTTTCTACATTTGATAAAATTAAAGGTCTTTACAGTTAAGAAGGGGAACCTTGTTTAAAATGTTGATATATACTCAGAATATGCACCTTTTAGTTTGGAAGGTGTTTATAAATGATCAGCATCTTGACTGAGTGATAACTCAGCTGTTATTAATGTCCCTTAGTTGTTATGAGTTGGAGGGGACACCATGGCAGTGAGTTGGTGGATTTGTTTGTGCTTATTTATATTGTAATTAAAAATAATTATGCCTAAGCAAAATGTTGTTGGTGCTTGGGCTCAAGTTATGTCCACCCTGAGCAGGTAGGCAAAAAACCATAGGGTTTTTAAGGTTGCAACTTTCTAGAAGCAGATCACCAGATCTGTCTTCCCAAGGGCCTCTGGGTGGGTTTGAATTGTCAACTTTTGGGTTAGTAGTGCAGCTCTCAACCAGTTTTACCACCAGAGGACTCCTTAAAATATCTTAATACTTAAAAGCAAATGAATAAATAAATAGGTTTTAAAAAGCAGTTAGGCATTCATTATGCCCTCAAATTTGATGGTGTTTTTAAATGATGATTTTCTTGGTATTATTCTTGTTACAGAAGTATGTAGACCTTCCTTGAAGTCAGACTAAGAAATGTGATGGGAACATGTGTATGTCTTTTGTCAATCCCCTCCAGTGCTCCATCGTCTACATATGACTTTAATGTACAAAAATATTTAAGTGAAAATGGGAGAGATTGTGTTTGGTTGAGTCCTAGTACCATGTTAATTATTTTTAAAAGAGTTTCTAGAAACAGAAGACTCAATATCACATGTTCTGCATTGTACACTATTTGGGTACATCTCACACACAGTAACACATCCCTTAGTGAAAACATTTTAATACTCCTCTTAAATTCTTTGTAAATGACATCAATGATGTGTGATTCTATTGTCTAGTCTCTTAACACTGCTTTTGCCTTCTCCCCATTCACTATTGCAATGTTTTAGGACAATTTTGTGTAGCAAACCAGGTTTTCTTTGGGGGGTGAGAGGTTGCTAATAACTTGCTTCTCATTGTATATTCAGTCAACCATTCAAGTTATAATAGTAAAAACAACAACAACAAACACTAAGGGAAAACAATACAATCTTTTAGCTTACTTTCTATTACCTAACAGAACCAACATTAATCTGAACTGTACAATTGAACATGTTTTTTTTTACCTAATATCACTTTCCCAAACTCGATTTTCATCCAGATCTTCAATAAACTTCTCTCCTTTCATCCAGTAAATTAAAGGACTGACATCTCCGCTGTACCCAAAGAAAGCTCGGCAGGTTAGATTAGCTGAGTCGCCTGTGGAAACAAGTGATGGAAATGAGTTATGGAATGATTTGTACACACTTATTTTAGGCACACTTGCAGGTAACATTTTGATCACTTCATTGATTTAATGAAACATCTCTCTTAAAAAATCATTTTTTCAGGTATTTCCCATCTTTGTCAAATTTATAGTTTGTGGACTTTGACAGCAAGGCTTGTTTAATGGAATGAGAGTTACTTACACAATTTCAAAGAGAACTCATGGTATTTTTTAAAGTGTTCTTCCACTTAAGTTCCCCTGATGCTTTCTCTTGATTCGATTGAGGTTATATGCTACAGGGAAGGATACCAGAGAGGTGATGTATCCTTCAGAAAGTCATGTCTATCTGGTGACCTGTAATGTTGGTAATTATATGCTTTTTGTAGGGCAGGTAGAAGATGTTTGTCTCAAGCTAGAATGTGGGACACGAAAGGGTAATATTTGGCTGAGAAATAAGAGGAACTGTAAATCCAGGATCCCAAGGAAATTAGAATGAAACCTTTTTTGTACTTGGTAAGAAATAATACTTTAATAAATAAAACCAACACACTCGGGCAGAAAAGCACATTTAACAGCCAATGAACAACCCATGTGTACAAATACATGGGATTTTCATTAGAAGCAAAATCAATGACACTACTGTGGAGATTAGTTTCTTCCAATACACTACCCACGAGGGACCACACTAATGGTAAATAGATTTGTTGATTACTTAAAAGGTAGGTGGAGGTTCCAGATTTAGAGGTGGACGTGCATTCAGTGCCTTCAGAAGGCATAGGTTTATTTCTGTTTGTACAGTTGATGCCATTTTGCAACACCTGGTTTTCCTAATATTTGCCCAGCATTGAAGACCCGAAATACTCCAGCTCATTCTATCTTTAAGATCTTGCTGCCTCTAAGTGGAGCCAGAAACTAGAGAATAGGATGAGACCTTGTAAGGAAGCCACACTACAATTTGGATTGGGGTAAAGGAACTCACAGGAATGGGTATAAACAAGGGTCTGCAAAGTGTCAGCAAACTTTTCAACTGGCCTGAAATGCCCACTGCCACTATGGTTACCACGCGTGCTCCACTACTAAGTGAAAGGTTAGGAGGTCTGAAGGCACAGGCTGTTCTGTGGGAGAATAGCCATGGTTATCTGGTCCTGTAGAGACTATAGCCTAAGAAGCCCTATGGGGTAGTTCTACCCTCTTATGCAGTCCCTGTGAGTTGAAATAGACTCCAAGGCACATAACCACTGTTTTGTAGAGAGCTCTGACAACTCTATAGCCTTAAGACACAAGGAAGAAGGCTCCTAAAGACTGGGAAACTTAGCTCTGAGCATGAATTAATAGAGACCACTAATGTGCCAAAGTAGCCCGGGTGTTACAGTGGCAGCCCCTTGGACTACTCACTGCAAGGTCCTGTAGTTCGAAACTACCAGCTGCTGTTCTGAATGAGAAAGATGAGGCTTTTTACTCTCGAAAAGAATAATAGTCTCTGAAATCCACAGAGGAAATTCTACTCTGACCTATAGGGTCACTGGGTCAGAATCGACTGTGAGTGAGTTTATTTGTTTGGTTGGTTGGTCTATTAATCTGCCCAAAATTGGCTTATAATTGATTCTATAATATAAAACCAGAGAGAAGCAAGAGTACATTTGGATGCATTCTTCCTAAACCCAGGCATGGATACACTAGAAAATACAACCAACCAATGAATCCACTCAAAGCAATCTGATATGAGGTTTCTGAAACTGCAAATCTTTATGAGAGCCAATCTTTCTCTTGTAAAGCAACTGGTGAGTTTGAACTGCTTACCTTGCAGCTAGTAAACCAATGCCTAGCTATGGCACCACCAGGGCTCCTTAGTCATACATAAACCCAGATATAAACACTGTTCTCCAAATTCTAGCGCAAGGAAAAAATATGCTTTGAACTAAAAGACTTAACAATAATTAATTAATTTCAGCAAGGAATATTTTCTTGTGTGTTATCAATTCGGTTACTATCTCTACAGGTCTACCTATCTTGGATATCATACACAGAAAAATCACACAAAACACAAACAGGAAGCAAACACCCCCGCCCCCCATCAATGACTAGCAAAACCTCAATAGAAAAGAAAGTATTAAAATATTAAAAACTTAAACCACTTTAAAATAGGTCAAAATGGAGAACAAACGATAACATATTACATTCTAACCTAACAACATCTGCAATCTCTTATAATTGAATTAATGATTCAACACAATTCAGCTGTTACCTACTTTTCTGGTCTTTAAAAAATTGTTTTATTGAGCTATATATAATTAACACATCCTACAATTCAATAGTTCAATCATGTTAAGAATGATTGCTCTTATTACTTAGGGTCATTGAATAAAGATGGTTAATGCATATAAATTCTTGCTTTTTCAATATGTATAAGATAGCAAAGCTATATTCGTCTCGTTTCTTTGGCTTTGGTTTACATCTGCATGTTTTCCTAGTACAAGATTTGAAAACGACTTGGAGTCATTCCTTGTTGACCAGATAAAGCAAGTACAGAAAATGACTACCAGTGTTTAAGATGTAAAATGTGCTTCTAAGGGAGTCCTTTTATTATTAGTTTTCTAAATATTTGAACATGGAATCCTCCCCTACTTGGGACAATATTTTACTTTACAAGACAAATAAAAAATGCCACTCTTATTGATTACAAATAATTTGCAGATTTCTGTGGTAAGTGTTAATCCAACAGTATGTGATCACAGGTTAGATTTATATGCACAAAACAATTTTAATGAAATACTCTTTGCTTTCACATTTTTATTAGAGCACTCAAGGTTTGATGCAACAGGACTGCTTGTTTTAATGCTAAGGTAGTTATGAATTCAAAAGTAAGCTTTAAAATTTTATATGTCTTAATGATTAACATCGCATGCCAATAGAATTGACATATACTACAGAGTTTAACATTTTTATAGATGAGTAATTTACCAAATCTGTCTCTTAAAAGAATCAAGTCTTAGTTTTTGTGTGGAGCTTAATTATTAAGATACATATAAAAAAAAGACACATATCTAAATATCTCCAGATTGCCTAATTTTCTATTACAGTTTTACTAAATATAAATCCCCTTAAAACTGCAGTAACAATAACAACCAAATCCAATACTATTGAGGCGATTCTAACTCACAGTGATCCTAAAAAGTTTCTGAGACTACCGTTAATGGGAGAGGCTGATGGATCCAAACTCCTCATCTTATATTTAGCAGCCACTAGGGCTCCTTTCTTAAATACGGCAGCTTATATATACCAGTCAAGCCATTTGAACCACAGCTTGACATTCTGTAGAGAGGTCAAATGGGCCACTTATTGATATCTACATGGATCTCCCTTGTCATCCTCCTACGTTCCCAGAGCAATTGATTGTCCACTTTTTAATTCTTTATTTCTCTGCCCTGCTGGCTTTGAGATGTCCAAATCTAGAGCATAGCTTCTGTACCTAGTAAGAAGTTGGTTGGTGCTCAGTTGTAATTGCTGTCTTGGCTTCACCTCTAGGTCTCATGATAAGTGTATCTGCCCTGGTTCTATGGGAGTACCTAGGTGTGGTAGTTACATAATCTATCGTGAAATTGACACTTAAGAGTGAATGGGGTATAGTTTAGCCTATCAATCAGGTTGCAGCTTGGTGACATCATTTGGAGCCTCTAAGGAGATAAGAAGTTTGCTGGAGGCAGGACACTGGCTCGCTCCCTGCGAGACATTGCTGACAACTAGCCTGATGGAACTAGCTGATGCAGCCAGAGTCCTGGTGCTGGAGGAGACACGTGAAAACCCCGCCAGCACTGAGATTCTTCTACCGCCAATAAGTCCACAAGATTTTCCACCCACTGGGCTGTGATCTTCCTGCATTTTGTGTCATTGCATGTGTTTTGTGAGTCTGAAGAGGTATTTATAGATTGATAACAAGCATATGGGCTAATATCAGACTTATGGACTTGATCTGGACTGGGCTAGGTTTTTTTCTCAATATTTGTTTGCTCTTGTATATAAAGCTCTTTCTTATACACATATGAGTCTCCCTAGATTTGTTTCCTTAGTCTACCCAGATTAACACACTAGGGAAACACTAACCATGTGCTGACTAGGTGGGCCATGTGCCCAGGACTGGAATTCATAAAAGGGAGAAAGCAGGATGGGAGAAAGACTAGAAGAGTGCTCTAGGCAGAAAGAAAAAGAGCATGAATGAGAGAAAGCAGGCAAACTTTGGAGGAAACAAAGAAACTAAAACTCTAAAGACTTCATAATGGCTGAAAGTGAAGTGTGTGTGTGTGTGTGTGTGTGTGTGTGTGTGTGCGTGCGCGCGCGCGAGGGCAGAGGGAAGAAGGGTAATATATAGAGTACAGATGAGGCCATGTTGGAGGTTGAAGGTTTTATTTTAAAGAAAATGGAAAACCAGAGAAAGGCTTCAATTTCAGAGCTGACAAAATCACATCTGCATTTGAAATAAATCACTCTTATTATAGCTGCAAAACTAGGATTGGGTCACAGAGAATCAAGAACATAGGGACTATTGTAATACTTGGGGATCATAAAAGGACTATCTACTGCAAAGATTCAGATTAGTGTCACGCCATTTCCAGAGAGGTGACAGCTGTGATGACAGATTGTCATGCTTTTTATCAATATGATTATAGGAAGACTTTTAAAGCCTGATAAGGTAGAATATATATATTATTCTTTGTGTATCTCTCTCTCTCTCTCTCATTTCAGCCAGATGTTTCAAGCGACAGGAGAGACAGTGAACTTGAACAGAGCTTTGGTCTATGAAAAGCACTTTGAGTGGCTGCTCTTACTTACACCAATGTGTGTGGCTAACGAAAAGGCTCCACTGCACTTCTTTTACATAAATCTACAGGCAGGAAAGGACAGTAGGAGCCCCGTGGAGTCAATTTTGAAAGAAGACCAGGGAATCTATGATCAAGTCAGAGACTCTATCCAGGGGCCTCTGTGTTGGCAAGTAAAG